GAATCTTACTCAAACTCTGTCCTGGTCAAACACTTCAGAAGTCTGACACTCCTTGCAAGACTCACATAGGGTTAAGTCCCTTGCTTCACTTCTATTCGTCTACCCTGTCCCTCCAATATGCGTCTTGGGAAAGGCCTGGTCTGTGGTGAGCCTGGACTTATCCATTATGTGTGCTCCCATTATCTCCTCAGCTTGTCATTGCATTTGCCACAACCTTGGTGGACTTGTCTACTCTGCACTAGACCAAGCAGCAAACACTGCATTCACACGGAATCTTTAGTGCACAACACTGACCTCAGTACTCTAACATGGTTCGCTGAAGGAAAAAAAAATGGATCGACCTTTAAAATAAAAGCCTTAAAACTCATAGGGAGAGTCTGCAGCTTAATAATTAAGTCTTGAAGCAGAGGGCCCTGAATAGCAGCTTGGATTCTAAGCCTGCCACCTAGCTGCTGCCCGTGAAGCCACTTTCCAACTGGCAACCTTGGGTCAGTATATACTGTGTCCTCGTGCCAGAAGGAAAGCTCGCAGAAGGGAGTCAGTGCAGGGCTTCGGGGGTGGAGGGGGGGGTGATATCTTGGCCCAGGACGCCCGTTCCGACATTGCTCTGTCTATCCCACTTTCTCCTCCGTAGTCCAGAAAACCCCTGGGATTGAAATTCCATCCTGGGAGCTGAAATCCCATCCTGGGACTTCTTTCTTCGCTCTCTTAACAACTGTCCCTCACCTGGAACCCGCTGTGACCCGGGACCCCAGCCTCTCCCACCCCCGCCCCGGCCGATTCTTACATTTTCTTAGCTACATCCGTCTCGCGGAACTGCTCCTTCACCATGGTGCCGGCTGCCTGGCGCCCTTCTCGGGGCTCCGACTACAAAAACGACTGTCGCCGCACCTTGCCTGGGTGCTCCTGAATTCAAGGTTGAGGGAACAGCATCACTGTCTCGGCCACCGTAGAGCACCGCACGTGCCGCTTCCTCTTCCGCCGCAGGAGTGTGAGTCTTCATGCGTGTTGCTTTGCGCCCTCCCGCAACAGCGCCTCCTAGCGGCTGCTGTATAAAAAATGCACCCAGGCCACGCAGAAAAAAATATATATATATGTATCTCCGTTCTGGCTGGAGGTAGTGTCAAAATGTCTTTAATCGCAGCACTATGGAGACAGAGGCAGGCTGATCTCTGAGTTTGAGTCCGGTCTGAACTACAGAGCTAGTTCCAAGACAGCCAGGGCTGTTACAGAAAAACAAAACAAACAAACAAACAAAAAAGAATGCCTTTCTGTTTCTCAAAATGGCAGACAAGTACCGCACATTCCTTATGTCTAAGCCAAACAGCAACAAACCCTACATCAAAACAAAGAAAAATCAAAAGACTCAAAATCAGGCCGGTGGTGGCGCATGCCTTTAATCCCATCACTCAGGAGGCAGAGGCAGGCGGATCTCTGTGAGTTCAAGACCAGCCTGGTCTACAAAAGCTAGTTCCAGAACAGCCTCCAAAACAACAGAGAAACCCTGTCTCTAAAAACCAATAATAATAATAATAATAATAATAATAATAATAATAATAATCATTATTTTGTGAATAAAGAGCATCTAGTTGTTTATGAGACAGTGAAAGCAAAAATCCACCTGCCAAAGGGACAGAAGAGCACCATGTGGGCAATCAGAAGAGGAAATAAGTGCACACAAGCTTCCAGTCTATAAAGTTATTTGAGTGGAAAACGTAATTTATACAAGTATACACTAGGACATGTATATGTATTATATGTATGTGCATTTCATTTCCTGAGAAAGACTGGTCTTGAACTTGCCATCCTTCTGCCTCCATATTCTCAAGGCTTAGATAACATATATATATATATGTATATATATATATATATGATTCATTTCAATATGTGTTTTGTAAGTAGGTGCAGCAAGAACCCATGGAATTCCACCACTGTCCATCTGTCCATGGAAAGAAAGAACAGTATACTAAAAACTGCCTGGTTTACACACACACACACACACACACACACACACACACACACACACCGGAAAAACAAATGCCTGGCTGCCTCTAAGGATAAGAGAAGACAGCACCCAACTGCAAAGCTTGTTAGGAGCAGGGCATTGGTTGCACATGCCTTTAATCCCAGAACTCGGGAGGCAGAGACTGGCTGATCTATGTGAGTTCGAGACCAGCTTGGTCTACAGAGGACATCCAAAGCAATACAGAAAACCCTGTCTTGAAAACAACAACAAAGCTTGTTAGGTTTTATAAGGTTATGTGTCTGGGGTGGGGCAGTTCAGAAAAGCCAGTGGTTAGCATGGGAACTCTGTGAGGCAGAGGAAACACCCACATACATTGTCAGGGTCTTTAGCCAGCTATTAAGGGCTTTTGAGAAATGCTTTAGATTTCTGCTCCTGGCAAAACTAAGCTCAGGTGGGATCCAGGCCATCTGCCCTGCCATTTGGGAGCCTGCTTTGGGGACTTAACATGTTTGTGTATGTGCATATATGTGCAGGCAGGTACCAGAAGTATAGCCTGATTTCCTTATGCATACTAGCCTCTGGGGCACTCTGATATTCCCCTTGGACTAATGCACAATTGAATTAATTTTTATACTCTTCTCCACTTTATGCTAAGCATAACTTATGGATCAGGAAACACTACAAGCTAATTTTGTGTAAAGACAAAGATCTGGGGGTGGGGAACAGACAAAATATTGTTGAGATAGCTTCTTCCTGTGTCACCCTAGTTGGCATGTAGCCCAGGGTAGCCTTAAGTTCTTGGCTAATCTTGTTCAACTTTGCAGACAGATGAGATCATAGGTGTGTCAAAAAGATCACCTGGGTCAAATAGATGACTTTATTTTTCCCTTCTTAATGCTGGGGGGGGGTGTGAATCAGAACCTTTGCATTCTAGACAACATTCTACCACTGAACAGAACTATATTCTCTGTTTTTTTCTAAATTTTAGTTGGAGCCAGGATCCAGCCAGGCTTGTCTGCAAGTTTATATGTACCTCAGGACAGGTTTCAAACTTTTGATCCTCTTGGTTGACTATTTCTGGTTCAGCAAGTTTTAGAGATGCTCAGAAAGTGTCAAAACCAAATCTTAACAAATCCCCTCCCAATCCAATATGTTGGTAGGTGTGGTGCCACACTTGGGAGGTGAAGGGAAGGTCAGGAATTCAGGATCATTCTTGGCAATACAACAACTTTTTCCAGGCCTCAATGGGCTTCACTGCAAGGTTTCAGAGAATCCAAAATATCACATGTGAAAACTCTTACGAAAAAAGTGATAGCAGCATGCAGTGTTGCATACATGAAAAGGACTAAATTAAGGTTTCTGCTGTTTTCCTCGGTGTAAAGTGGGGATGTGCGCCAAAAGGCCTTCTCTAAATGATTCAAGATTAACTCATCTGGAGGCAATTTTTATTTTATTTTATAGTCAGGGTCTCACTATGTGGCCTTGACTGACCTAAAATTATCTCTGTAGGCCGTCCTGAGCTTGAACTCAGAGATCTGCCTGCCCCTGCTTTTCACGCCCCATTAGATGGAAGCAATTTAAACACACTGCCACTGGAGGAAAAATAAAATATTAAAAAAAAAAAAAAAACATTAAAAGTGAACTGTGCTGGGCATTGCGGCACACGCCTTAAATCTCAGCATTCAGGAAGGTTCGAAATCAGCCTGGTTTACAGTGTGAGTTTAAGAACATCCCAGAGCTACAAAAACAACAAAAGACAAAAGACAAGTGAAAAGAAATGAATTGGAAAGGAACACATGCATGTATAACCATAGATCAGTTTGCCTAGCCCTAGTGGGAGGGTCTAAAGGACAGAGAGGCGTGGCTTTAGCACTTTCAGTCAGGCATTGGCGTGGTCTGCCCCGAGGCTTTGGCCACGCCCCCGCGCCGACGCCCGGGTCCTTCCGTGCGCGTTAATATGATTGGCCAGCAGAGAGCGGTTCTCTTTTCCTCCTTTGCAGCTGGGTCGCCGGAGCCATCATGGTGAGTCTCCTCGGGCTGTCGTCTCTATCCGTAGCGTATCCGTGCCATCCCTGCCACCTCAGGTCTGTCCCTGGAGCCGCAGCCATCCAGAGCTCACCTGCTCTGCTCGGGCCATGTCGCACGGAGGCCAGTCGCCCAGGCCGCTGTGCCGGGGCTGGGCCGCCCACTGGAACACGCTGGGCTTCAGGCTGTTCGTCCTCGGGGTCACGGAAGCCCCAACTGGGCTTGAGAGACAGGGGTGATGCGGGCGCTACCGGGCCGAGGTGAAGAAGGCGCCTATGCCTCCTGGCCTGTGGACTCGAGTAAGCTAGCCTACGTAGCAGCCGAGTAGAATTGGGGTGTGTTGGGAGAATTAAAGTGCTTAGGGGGAGACTGCCAAAAGGTTGCCATGCCCATTCTCTTTCCCTCCCTCAGAGTCATAGTACAGTGCTCGCCACTTGCAGGCTGCTTTTCTTTTTCATTTTTTTTCCTTAACTCAGTGATTAGGCACCATCGCGGCTACTTAAACAAGTTGAGGTCGAAAATCTAGCGACTATTTCCAAGGTTTTGGTGATAAAGTTGATCTCAGGTAAAATTCTAGAGTGGTTAAGCTTGCTGAATGCCAGCTACTTCGTACTGTACTAAGGGAAAAAGTTGGCACTGAGGGTTTCAGATCCCTTGGAACTGTAGTTACTGGTGGTTGTGGGCGACCTGACATGGGTGCTGGGAACCACTGAGACTTGTTTCTAAGCATTGGTTGCAATGACTAGGAGTGTTAGTGGTTTCTAGTGACCAGGTAGCCAGGGATTCTTAAGACATCCATACAACTTAATCAGAAAAACCAATAATGTTGAGAAACCCAAATGTTTACTATAACTTAAAAAGAAACAGATGACAGAAAATAAGTGGTCTTGTGGTGGCTGAGGTTGCCACATGCTTTTTGGACTGAGATACCCCACTCCCCCTTTTAACGGTTTTCCACCACCTCTTGTTTCTTGGCCCCATTGCTAGTAGCTGCTGAATTAGCACAGCAAAGGCAAGGAAAGGTTAACATAGCTGTTAACTAACTTGTGTGTTATCTACAGAATGACACAGTAACGATCCGGACCAGGAAGTTCATGACTAACCGTCTGCTTCAGAGGAAACAGATGGTAAGGGTGGACATGTCAAAGTTTAGTGTTTTGTGTCTTAATTTTGAAGATGTAGTTAATTACAAAGAATACTAAACTGTTATGTCTCTTTTTAGGTCATTGATGTCCTTCACCCTGGGAAGGCAACAGTACCAAAGACAGAAATTCGGGAAAAGCTAGCCAAAATGTACAAAACCACACCAGATGTCATCTTTGTGTTCGGATTCAGAACCCACTTTGGTGGTGGGAAAACAACTGGTTTTGGCATGATCTATGATTCTCTAGATTATGCAAAGAAGAATGAGCCCAAACACAGACTTGCAAGAGTAGGTATCTTCTGTTTGCTTGACAGCTATTGAATATTTAGTTCTTTGCAGGATGGCGAGTTAGAAGATTTTCCATTATCACATTATGAAAAGATACAATGAGCAATACCAAGCAGTTTAGGAAACAACAAGTATACTAGGAATTCTAAAAAGGTTAATAAGACCGTTCTTAGCCTAATGCAAAGGTTCCTGGTTATCTATGATATTGATACATCTCCAGACTTCGCTCCTACCCATTAGCCCATCTCAATGTAATTTATCTGTCCTGAACTGGAACTCAACAGCAGTGTGTTCCTCTAGCCTAGGTAGTGGGGTTGCAGGTATGCACTACTACATCTGGCTAGGAAAATTCTTGTTTAATGAGCAAGCTACAGTATTTTACAGTGTGTTGACAATAGCTTTAAAAACTAAGACTGAATTCCATTTAGTCCAAAACTGGTAACAAACTTGATACTTAGTTGGTGGGAATCAGGAACTCTTGATCTTCCAAAGAGCTGGGATTGTGTAGATTGATTTCATCTTTTAGGCTTTCTCACTCACTATGTTGCCCAGGGTGTTAAGATTACAGGCATAGGCCACTACTCCTGACTTGTTTCTTGGGTGGTGGCGGGCTAGACACTAATTGCAACAATTACTTTATCCCAGTTTAAGTGATAGGATTTTTTTTTTCTCTTTGTTTGATCCCATTTACTCCTTGCTATGATGGAGTATGTTATAACTAGTGTAAGTTTTGCAGGAAGACTTACTAGATGCTGTTACCCTGACTGGCTTCAAGTCACAGGTCAGCCTGCTTCTGCCTTCAACTTCTGGGATTAGAGCCATGTGCCACTATACCTGGCTAAATAGATTTAGATTCTTTCAGGAATGATCAAGAGCAAATTAATGGGTTAGGTTCTCCACAGTGGGAATGGTAGAATTCTCAGTGACACCAGTTCCTTCACAGGAGAAGTAAGAATTGAAAGTCTGTAGGGTGTGTTGGGCTGGGTGGTGAACCATGGCACACGGCTTTTAATCCCAGCACTGAAGCAGAGTCTCAGTCTTGAGATAGAGTTCCAGGACAGCCAGAGCTAAACAGAAAAAAAGTATTGGTTTGTAAAGCTGTTTTTAAAGTTCTCTCACTTAAGCTTACCCATTAGAGTGAGTTCACCAGATACATAAACTTTTTTCTCTCTGGTAGCATGGCCTTTATGAGAAGAAAAAGACCTCCCGAAAACAACGAAAGGAACGCAAGAACAGAATGAAGAAGGTCAGGGGAACAGCAAAGGCCAACGTTGGTGCTGGCAAAAAGGTACGGTTCAAGGGAGGTACAGATATGTCAGTGATTGACATTGTCTATGAAGAGGGGTTTTTCTAAATCTTTCTTGATGTTTTTTTCTTTTCCCTCTTCTGGATTGATTGCAGAAGGTAACGTTTTGAGAAGCTATGTAACAGTAGTATCATAGAGTAGACTGGCCCACCTCTTCTGCTCATAGACTAGCACAATCCAACATGAGGCCACATTGACTCAGTGATCCTAGTGGTGCCTTCTAGCCCTGGTTATTACCAGGAATTTTTTCCTCATGCTAATTGGCATAGACACCTCAGGGGAGAGCAGATCATGTTCCTAGGATTTCATTTTATTTTTTAACATGGGACAATGGTTTTTGAAGCAGCTGGATCAATGTGGCCCATGCTTTCTAAATGTCCAACTGTTTTCCTCTCCAGTTAGCTGAGATCACAGTGATTTGAATGGTAGCTTTATGCCAGCTTTTCTAGCTAGTTGTGAATAGTGGAGTTGAATTAAGGTGTTGGGTTGCTGAATAATCAAGTGTTTTGTGAATTTTTTTCCCCTTCTCCTGTCTTGGATTTCTTACTCAGCAGAAATGAAATATCTAGCAGGTACTGAGATTGAGCACGGTGTGGGGATGTGTCACCTTCACTCAGCTAGCTTTGATGCTTTGCATGTTGGCTTTTGAACAACAATTTTCATAGTATGGCTTATTACTGTGTCAAAAGGAAAGTCTTAACATTTATTTGGAAAGTCAAAAATGGCATGTTACATGTGGGGGAGGGGTGCCTCACTAATGAAGGTGCCCTGGTCTCCCTGAACTTATAGATTCAGACTGGTGTTTGGGAAGTGGCTTCATTGAACACCTCCAGGGTGCTGCAAGAGCCCAAGATTCTCTTGGGAGTAGCATCTGCTTCAGTGTCTTAGCATTTCTGTCACTAATAAGTCTCCTATTCTTAATAGAAAACTGAGTGACATAATGAAGCTTTGGTAATTTTTACCACACGCATTTTAATTAGAATGGTCCCTGCTCTACTACATTTGTAATGTGCAGTAGAATTACATTAGTATTTTAGAAATGTGCCCACTACCTACAATGCCTACCTTTCAATCTGCCTGCCTTAGGCCATAATCAAATGACTTCTTTCCACACTGTCCATAGTGCTGCATAGGTGTTGCAAATTATACGTGATGATTGATAGCAGTTTCGACGGTGCAGTCAGATTTGTCCTCTGCCCCTGAACTGAATGAAGGCCTTTGAACACAGATTTTTTTTGCTAAGCCACCAGGTTCAGCGTCAGTCTGAGAGGTTGACCTGGGTCTAGCCTGTCATAAACTGTTAGTTTCCCTGGTGATTGCACTAGCACCACCTTGAAAAGCCAGCTCAAAAATGAGTTTGAAATAGTAATGGCCTCTGGACTGTTGCTTGATGTTAGAACCTGGTGTTCCTTTATTTGCAGTGGAGCTGAAACTGGGGCATACTTAATTTTTGTTATACTAATGTGAATACCTCGTGGTATCCAGGATTGGTGTACTTAAGTATTAAAATGGAACAGATTTCAAAAAAAACTTGCCTAGTCATTTAGAGTTCTCCCTTTGGAATCTAAAGGAGTCTCAAGTCTGGGTCCTCTGCTTGGCACAAGGTTAACCAGAAAAAGGTTCCAGCCTCAGGGATGTGTCCTCCATGTAAAGATGTTTGACAGCATACGTTTGGTACTGGTCTGGCATTAGTGCAGTTGTGTGCCACCTTGTTAACCGTGGAGCAAGGTGCTGTCAGAATTGGGTGGTATAAGGAATGTTCATGTACAACTACAGAACAACCCAAGGTACCTAATTGCATATACTTTCAGTGTAGATAATTTTTGGTGTTTGAAAAGGGACTACTAATGAACTGTTTGTTTTCCTCCTTCCCATTCCCTCTTTCCTGCCACTGATTCAGTGAGTGGAGATTGGATACAGGTATAATTCAAGCTCTTACGTAGATCACTAGAATCCTTATTACTCATGTAGTTTGAGCAAGCGTGTGAAGATTTACTACTTATATATAGATTTTCAAGTGTACCATTTATAACATTACTAACAGTGACTGTCTAAAAGATGTTGACTTGTTTTTTTTGTTTCATTTCTAACATGAATTTTTAATTTCTTTCTAGATGTTTGCATTTTCTTGGCTTTTGTTTTAAGTTAATACTTGTTTTGCATGAGTTATTTTTTTTAAAGAGATTGTCTTTGTACTTTAAAGATCCTTTAAAGGTTGTTGATGACTTTTTTTTCCCCCCCCACAGCCAAAGGAGTAGATCTTCAGTGACTTGATCAGCTGTGATGTGCAGATTTCCGAGTGGACAAATAAACTAAAAGCTATGTGTCTGGAGTCTGTTAATTGGGTATTAAGTGTCCAGTGGCTGCTTAGGTGTTCCTGTAGACTACCTTCAGTCTACTAAGCTTTAGCTGAAAGTCTGCTGTAGGGGGCTTGTATAAATCCTAGCAGTTGGTGGTGGGTGTAGAGTAACTGCATGGGCAAAGTATAGGACCAGTGTGCTCTACCCCTTGCATTTATTTATTTATTTGAGATGATTTCCAGCTCTGGCTGGTCTGGAACTTACTGTAGACCAGGCTAGCCTGAACAGAGATCTGCTTTCCTGAGAGCTGGGCTTAAAGCCCTCCACCCACATTTGAAGCTACGTCTGGTGTGACTCATTCCTGTAATTCCCTGAATTGAGACTTTTTTCTCCTACAACAGGGTTTCTCTGTGTAGCTTCGGAGCCTGTCCTGGAACTCTATAGACCAGGCTAGCCTGGAACTCATCCACCTGCCTCAGCCTCCCATTGTTGGTCACTACTGCCCATCACATTTTAAGACTTACACATTAGGGAAACCCTTTATAACGATCCAATAGATACCCTTACCAGATATTGTCTTGTCCTAATGGAAATTGAATCTGTCTTTATTTGCCTGGCTAGTGGTGTGAAAGCCAGCAGTCACCAGTTTTTCTCTGTCAGGGATCAAAACCCAAGGGCCTGAACTGTGGGTTAATGAGGTGAGGTGTTTGGAAAATTTGGGTAGGAGTCTGCCTGAAAGGCATTACAGCTTATAGGTGGTGCATTGATTTTAATCTTGTGATGGAACCCATGACATCGCATACACTAGTGCTGATTGATTGTTTATGGTGAAGTTTGGCCTGTGGTTTTTAGGTTTTTCCCCTAAAGGCTATATCAATTGGTATGGGACCAAGTGGGAATGAGATTTGTTAAGTGCAATGAACACTGGATCTAAAACATTTTGGGACTGAAGAGGTGGTTTGAAGACCTGACTTCAAACTTTCAGCCATGGACAGGTGGAATTAAATTAGCATGTAGAGGGTTTCCTTGGGGAGCAAGGATGTGATAGCTGTTTTAGGTAAAGACATGGGTGTGCAGCATTATGGGTTATTTTGGGAAATTTGTGTTGCTGGGATCAGATGGCTAGTAGGAAACACCATGGGTTCAACTGCTTATGTAAGTGGTTGTGTGGAGTAGGATGAAGTCTGCAAGATGGGCTGGTGTTGGGTAGATTGGTCCGTGGCTAAAAGGTGAGCAGGGCTGTTGAAAGCAGTGGAGCACAGCCTGGTTTTATAAATGGGAAGGGTCAGCCCTGTATGTATAGGCATGCTGTAAGGGCTCTCCAAGGTAAGCCAGTTCACACAACCTCCCCAGAGAAATAGCCAACCGTGGTCGAACTGGTGCTTTGGCACATAGTGATCACTGGTGTCTTCCTGAAAATTTTATGCTCCTGGCGAGTCACCAACCTTATTGACTTGTCCCCTAATATGTCACCTTTAGTAAATTTAGTCTGGATGTTTGGGTTAGGGTCATGGAGGACTTTTAAAGAATGCAAAACTGGTTGTGCTGAGGAAATCACATGAGTATAGCCCCTCCAGCCTGGTACTAATTAGATACTATTGAGAGTACAGGACTAGAAACTACAGACCTGTGCCTACTTGACTGAGCTTCCCTCTACCATGGAGGGTGGGGAGAGTCTGGAGGTGGTCCTGTAAGTGCAGTGTTTGCATTGTAGTGAGGTGTTTTTCCCTTTTGCCCCAACCTATAGCTAGGGTGTAGCTAAGCAATCAGGAAGCTTTCAGTTGTCCTCTATTGCTTCCTTGGCAAGTTTTTTTGTTTTTGAGACTGGGTATTCCTGGCTGTCCTGGACGTATTCTATAGATCAGGTTGGCCTTGGTCTGCTTCATGAGTGCTGGGATTAAAGGTGTGTGCCACCAATGCCCAGCTGGCAAGTTTTTGGTTTTTTTTTTTGACCCAAAGAGCATCTTACACGGAGGCAAAACTGTCCATTATGCGGACAGTGGTCTGTAATTAAGAGGAAGGTGTCTCTTCAAGGTTGGGGATTGTGTAGACAATAGTTTTTGGCTACCAAGGCTGGTGAGGATGGGGTTAGCATGCAGTTATGTGAACCCAAGGCAACACTGTACTCAGTCATAAAGCTGCTTTTGGGTATTCTATTGGTCACTGAGGTGCCATTTGCTACAGGGATACTGAACATAGGTAGCTAACCACACTCCCCATTTACCAAGTTACTTTGTGCACCACCAGTCTCTGATCTGGCACCTGGGGTGGAAAGATAAGCAATAGGATTAAGAAGCTGGATCCTGGAGGCCTTGGGGAGGTAACACCAGGACAAGTGACACAATCTAGTTCAAATGCATTTGAGGCAATGAAGGATGGGACTAAGGTGGAGCAGTTGATAGATGAATGGGTGGAAATGCTTCTGAATTGTGTAACTGGTGGCTTCTGATAGAGTTGCTTCTGTCTTTCTCACAGGGAAAATTCCATTCAAAACAGACCTCCAGCTGGCAAAGCACACAGCATGACAGCATTGTCAGTGCTAACCAGGTTGGGTTTTCCTGAGTCCCTGAGCTCCACACATCCATCCATCTGGCCTTTGGACTTAACCATGTGCCAGACCCAAGGTCCTACCTCACAGTGTCTTCAGGCTGGGAGTGAGTTAGGGTACAAGACTAGCAGGAGGGCCTTGGAAAGGTCGTCAGGGTACAGTCCAAGACCTTGTGTGCCAGACTAAGGACTTTTCTCATTCAGTATTTTGGTTGAGTAAAAGAAGATGTGGAGAATCACCATTGAACAGTAGATCAGGAGTCCTTGTCACATGCTGAGTTTTTCCACACAAAATACTTAAAAGCGTTTGATTGCTCATCAGGCATGATGGAAAGATTTGTTACTGCAGGATAGGGATAATGAACTGACAGCTAAGCAGTGTACTGGGGAAGTCAGGCTAGGGGCCCAGACCTGTTCCTGTTCCTTAGCCACCAGGCAGCAGGCCCCATGGGGGCTTACAGCTTGTGCTTCCACTCCCCTTGTTCTATTCTTTATCAGATAAAAGGACTAGCTTGAGTCTTGGGGGTTTGTTAAAAATCCTCATCTGCAGAGCTGGAGAGGTGGTTCAGGTTGAGAGCACTGACTGCTCTTTCCAGAGTACCTGGATTTGATTCCCAGCACACACATAGCAGCTAACAACTGTAATTCCAAGATCTGACACCCTCACACAGGCATACATGCAAGCAAAATACATAAAATAAAAGTTAGAAAAAAAAATACTCAGCTGCTCACCCCAGAGTAGGGGCACTCATATATCTGTAATTTTAAAAACTTCGAGGTTTAGTCTGAAAATTCACAAAGGTCCATTCTGCCTGTGTCTGTGTGACAGGCCTGGTTTGAAAGAAGCTTGCAAATGAATGATAATACTATGATAACTGATAATAAAAATTATGAACGTAATGCTGGGGAGATGACTCAGTGGGTAAAGTGATTGTATGCAAGCATGAGAACCTGAATTCAGATCCCTAGCACCTACGTAAAAGCTGGGCCAAGGGGACATCTGTAACCCTAGTGCTGGGGAAGTCACAGGCAGATTCCTGGGGTGGCAGGAGGGGGCTTGCCAGCCTCACCTAAATGATATGGCCTTGATTAACGGGGGTAGGGGTTAAGAGAGGAGGAGGTCTGAGGTCTACCTCCGGCCTCCACATGTATAAGCACAGGTGAGCATACATGAACACATTTATTGAGGGTATACTGTGAGCTTAGGAGGGAGGCACTGTTCTCCCTGTTTGCAGATGAAGTTAAGGTTCACAGGGAATTAAGGTTACATAGTCATTCGGATGAGCCTGGGAGCTAGCTAAGGCAGGTCTTCATTGTCTACACTCTAAACCTCAGCACCAGCTGAGGAACTTGTTAGAATTGCAAATTTCAAGGCCCCACCCAGTCAACACTACCAGGAAGTAAGAGTGGGACTCAGTAACTTGGATTTTAACAAGGCTGGCAGGTGAGTCTGGTACGAACTAAAGTTAAGGATGTTGAGGAGTACACCTTGAAGAGAGGAGAGATGTGGGGCCCAACAAAGAACAATTGATAACCCGGTCCAGAACCTTCCTAGGTGGAATAAACGTGATCCCTCAGGCCGACTTCCACGAGGGGTCACTGTGGGCACAGGCTTGGAATCGCCCTCTTTGTTGTCAAGCCCCGCTGCAGTCTTTCTTCTTCCGGGAAGATCTGCTGGGATGGTAATCTTGTTTACAGGATTCAGCCCTCCGGGGAAGCTGAACCTGGAGGGCTTGCTGCTGTTCACATGTGCATGGCGATGTCTACCCATCCGTGGGGCAAGGTCTCTGCAGATCCTCTGCAAACAGCATTCCTCTTTTGTAACTGCCCAGCCAGGCAGTTTATAGTTTCTTTAGAGGGCAGAGCACTAGAACCCCAGGGGCTCAGCATTCAGCATGCCACAGTGTCATATTGCTGTCTTGTTGAATTCGGGCCAGAAGCTATCTTCAAGTCTTTGTGATCCGGAACAATTTTCCTTTGCCTCTGTGCCTCAGTTTCCCAGCTAGGATGAGGGAATAGCTTTGATTAGGTGGCTATCAGCAGCTCTTTCTGTGTTTAAAATCCTGCCATAAGAGAGAAAAGTTGGAAGCCAGCAGACTGCCTCCTTCTGTCTCCAAGTCCTCTATGATGTGAACCACCGTGTTCAAACATGTCCTTCCCTCCTATTGTAGAAGCCCCTGAGATGTAGATCCTCTCTTCTCAAAGACAAGTGTAGATGCACACGTGTAAATAGATACATACAAATCCTGCCCCAGGGGGCTGAGAAGAGCCCTGCTTGTGCTTTGAAAGGCTTGTGATACAAGGAGGCTGCAAGAGCTGTGACATGATGACATCCATCTCAGGTGACCATTGAAGTAAGTCTTTTCAAGGACTTGCAAGGCAGTAAGGTGGAACCTACCAAATTGGATTTTTTTTTTTTTTTTTTTTTCTTTCAGGTCCTTAAACACCCTGGATTTCTATTCTGCCTTGTTTAGAA